GTCGGCATCGCCAGCTCTTACGCAGCTTTTGGAGAAGGTGATTCCGCAAGGGGACCGCTCGTCTCTCCGCAGCGATGTAATTCCGGCAATCCTTGACGCCATTTCCGGCATCGCCAAGACTCTGCAGGCATCCCAGCACGTCTCACTTGCTGGGACAGCAAACGCCTTTGGTGACGACCAGCTCAACGTCGACGTGCTCTCCGAGAACGTAATGCGCGAAGCTATTGCGAGATGCCCCTCGATCCAGACCGCAAGCAGTGAGGAGGACCCGATCGAGAAGCCTGCGAGGCCACAAGCGAGCGCTGGCGCAAACGAGATCCCTGCAACCTCAGAGGAGTACACCGTCGCTTTTGATCCCCTTGACGGCAGCTCCATCATTGCGCCAAACTGGACGGTTGGAACAATTGTCGGCATCTGGGATGGGCGGACCGCGGTGGGCCAGTCACCGGTTGAGAAGCAGATTGCGGCCATTATTGGTGTCATCGGACCCCGGACTACCGCCATTGTCGCCGTGCGGATCCCCGGCGCCGACTCCGCTTGCTTTGAGATCGGATACGGCCCGAACGGTGTGGCAGATTGCGAGGTTATCCGGCCGGTCGTCAAATTGGCTGACGCACCCTTCAAGACGCGTTACTTTGCGCCCGCCAACCTGCGACATGCGGCGGACGATGAGAGGTACAGCGCTCTCATTACGCGGTTCATCAAGGAGAAGTACACGCTGCGGTACTGCGGCGGCCTTGTACCCGACATTGTGCATGCGCTTGTCAAGGGTCATGGCGTCTATGTTATGCCTGTTACGCCCGGTGTTCTTCCCAAGCTCAGATTCCTCTACGAGCTATACCCGATTGCTCTGATCATGGAGTGTGCGGGTGGCCAAGCCATTGACCCCACGGATGGCAGGCCACTGCTTGAAAAGATTCAGAAGGATTGCGATGGTAGAGCAGGTCTGATCTGCGGCACGACGGAGGAGGTGAGGATTGTTAAGCAGGTTCTTCTTGGATGAGATGTGGTCAGAGTAGAATGAGAAGGATCGAGATATCTTTACATGTAGGCCCTGTTTATATACAGCTACAAACACACATTTAGCCAACCCCCACGTCTTATCACGCTGCGGTTCCGAAGTGTTCTCCCCCACTTCGAAGGTATTCCTCCTCTTCTTTCGTCATCAATCTGCCCAGCTGCGCATTACGGTGCGGATACCTCCCAAACCGCTCGATCAGATGCTTATGCTTCTTCTCGAACTCTAGGCTGTCCCCGATATAGTCCTCGCTCTGTTTGTCCCCCTGCTCTCGAAACTCTTCTTGCATCTCGCTGACAACTTTGATGTATGTCTCGTGGTCTTCGATATGTTCGGAGTGCATCAGCGGCATATAAAACCACATACGCCGCGCCGGCGCCAACCGGAGCGAGGGATGCATGTCAGGGCGCGATTCAGCACTCATGAGGCTGCGGAGGACTGCCCGTGCAAGCCGATCGTAATGCGTGTAGATGACGGCCTGGCGTGTCCTGAATATGTTTCGGGGTATTTGATCGAGCAGGAGAATGAGTGCAAGTGTCTGCATGCTCTTGGTTTCTCCGTCCGAGGTGTTGATGCTTTGCATCAATGGACCTGCAATGTTTTCGGCTGCGGCAGACTCCTCTGAAAAGTTGTTCGAAGGCGGAAGAGGGAACCTTTCGGGTCCGATGGACTCTAGAGCGGCCGCGAACTCTTTCGTGCAGGTGTCGTCAAATGCTCGACGGTCTTCCGGGGATCCCTGGCCGAACCAACGCGTCATTGCTTCTCGTGAGGCAATCTTGGCATGAGGTGCTACGCCTTGAAACCAAACATTGTGTACATGGGTGTATAGAGATGGAGATAGAAGCGTGCGGGGCAGTGTGGAAGTGAAGCCGGCCATGATGATAGTTGAGGTCAAGTAGTTGAACGTGGAATGATTGGTAATTGAATTAGCAGGAGTTACGGGAATGTTTCAATGTCGATTATGTCGTCGACAGGCCATCGTTCGAAGTATGATGCGTCATTTACCCTATTTATCACCACTGACTCGTCTTTTGCCAATTTCCAAGTATTGAACTAGAGTGCCTTCGGCATTAAACTGGAATTCCAGTACTTTCCAATGGTAGGGAGCTAGTTAACCACCGAGCCCTAGGACGCGGTAGGGTCTGGTGAACTGCACTGAATTGCCCTGGACGCGAACGCGCCCACCACATTACTAATGCAATTAATATCGGTCTCCGTTACATGCCGAGCGTCAAATTACTATTGCCTACTATTCTCCTGCAATAGCGCGAACGTAAGCCTCCACTAAATAATTTTCCTGATGACGACAACGGTATGGTAGTATCTCCCTGGTAGCTCAATAACTCTCTAGGGTATCAAGCTTTATCTCGGCCCAGGGGATCACCTCGTGTGAAAGATACAATGGTTTGAGCGTCTCGATTGATTACTTAGCTCGATCTTTGAGATCCTAAAAAATCAGACAGAGCTAAATTACCACGCTAAGCCCTCGGGTACGGCCTTATCGTTCATGCTAGAGCTCGAACAAACACCCCGACAGAACGCCTCATCCTCTTCGGCGGATGATCTCGTCGCTTGAACAGGGCCTCTGCGAGCCGGCCACCATTCCGACCCGCGCTTTCTCTCCTCGGCCACATGGTCATGCAGAAGCCCCTTGACCTTTCCAATGACATAGACAACCGCTTCTTCCACATCAGGGTGAAATGGCCCAGTTGTGTAGGTATCACTATTGAGATTGGACTGCGATCCGTTGGCTAGCCATTTGTCTTCTGACTCAACTTGGCTGAAGAAGTCCAGCTTTTCTTTCAACTCTTCTGGAGTCGCCGTTTTTGACCGATAGACTTCGTACCGCATCAAGCTCGTGGTGGCAGATGTGGGTACGATTGACATCATGTAGAAGAATACAGGCCTGGAGACCGGGTTAGCTGAGCCTGCTTGAGCGCACATGGGAATGACTCTAACTCACGTGAGAGTGACCGAAGCGTTGGGAAACATGTATGTAGGACTGACGGAGCTGGCACGTTGCTCTCCTTTTGCACCAAGGTGTTCAACCCAGTACTTATTGAGACCATAGTTCATCTGTTTATTGCCCTTGAAGAAGGGTGCGAGGCCAGGGTGAGCTGTCGGGCAATGATAACACTGCAGGAGGCCCACAGAATTAGTACCCAGTTTGAGACTGACCAACTATAAAGATCGGAGTTGATTGCACGAACCTCATTGTAATTCTCAATCAGTGTTTTCCAATTGAATTTTCCTTCCATTGACCAAGTGTGGTCGTACTCATAGTTGCTCATGTCGAAGTTCTCTAGCCGGGGCTGTTTATCAACGCCACCAAACTGTTCCTCCCAGCTAAGCGTCGGCTTTTCAGCTGCGTCCAGGTTGATCCAGAAGAACCCCAGACTATCAATATGGCTGTGAACCTTGTAGAGTTCATACTCGCTTTTGTCAAAGTCCTCGACCTGGTCGAATCGAGGCGCCTTGGCCAAGTTTCCATTCATGCTGTAAGACCACCCTGCCATAGTGTTAGTACTGTAGGTCGGAGTCAGAGGCCGGGTAAGAGCGCATACCATGATATTTGCAAGACAGCACAAACGCCTTCCCCTCATTCTCATGAACAATTGGAAATGCTCTGTGGCGGCAGATGTTGAGAAACGCATTGATATTCCCGGCACGGTCTTTAATGATGAAAAAGGGATAACCGGCCATCTCATAGCGAGCGTACTTGCCTGGCTCACTGAATTGGTGGACATGTGAGACTAGGATCCATGATTTACTGAAGATAGCGCGTCTCTCCAGTTGATAGAAACCTGGCTCACGATACCAAGACGCTGGAAGGGTGCTCTGCATGTTGAAATTCTTTGTTGCTCTTGTCAATGGCTTCAATTTGCTTGGTCAACATGTGTTTGGAGTGAGGCAGAACTTTGCTTGTAATTAAGCTGAACTTCGTTAGACAAAACAACTTCATGATAAACATCTCGGGGGCCGAGAGACCCATCGCAACTCCATCGTCCAAAGCCCAATGTTCTAAACTTCTAATTTTAGCGATGTTCGGCCGATGCCCCGCTGATACTCATCGAAAGAAGTAAGCAACAGTTTACCCAAGATGTGATTGGTGTTCATCGGATATGGGTTGGCCTAGACAGACTAGTAGTGAGATACCATCCTGCGCTCGGACTGCCGGCCGAAGCAGCCGGGACCACAAGCAAGCAGACATGCGGGGTCGCCATGAGGTTGTCCGCGGACACCGTACGTCATTCAGAGCCTTGACTTCCATGATAGTGGAAACTCGCAAAGGTTGACCCCGCCTCTGAGATGCCTTGGCTAGCTTTCTTAGCCTCGGGAGCTGCGGAGCGCATAGTTGCCAATCTCGAGCTCGCTATCTCCCATGCGCAACTGCGATAACTGATGGATTATCTGGTAACACACAATTCCAAGCATCCACAGAGGGTTCTGCAACAGCCGTATCAATCGATAGAATGCAGGCATACGTCCTTTTGGTGATAGTCGCACTCTTTGTGGGAGTGCAGCTCCTGGCAAAGATCTATCGCGGCTTCGCGGCCCCACTCGCATCCGTCCCCGGCCCCTTCTTTGCGCGGTTCACGGACCTATGGTACGCATGGAGGATTCATCAGGGTTGCTTCGAGGTTGACAACATTGAGCTGCACCGAAAATATGGCAAGTCGTCTTTTGGAGGGGTCCTACTGGACAGAAACACAGTCTTGTCTCGAAGACTGTGTCAACTTGGAAGAGTCCAGTGTAAATGAGCTAACTCCTCCAAGGCTCAATTGTCCGATATGGTCCAAATAGATTCAGTATCAATGACCCACACGCAGCGAAGGTGATCTACGGTCATGGCCACGCATTCTCAAAGTCTACGTGGTACGACACTTGGGGTGATCCAAACCCGCATCAATGGTCTTTGTTCTCAGACCGAAACGAGAAGCGCCACAGCGAAAATCGACGTCTCTATCAAAGCATGTACAGCATGTCCTCCTTGGTGCACTACGAGAGCTACGTCGATGAGTGTGCGGACTTGTTCTCCAGAAGGCTCTCAGAGATGAGTGGCAGAGGAACGACGGTAGAGCCTGTTGACATGGGTCATTGGTTCCAGTGTTACGCATTCGACGTGGTTGGTATGATCACCTACTCCAAGAGACTTGGATTCCTGGACCGGGGTCTCGATGTCGGAGCGGTGATCAAGAATCTCGAAAATCACCTCTACTACGCGACTATGGTAGGAGTATACTCGTACCTCCACTCCTACTTAGCACCCATCAGGAGTCGGCTAGGTAAACAGGGTACTGGCAGGCAATTCATCGTCGAGTTCACCAAGGGTTGCTTGGCAGACCATCAGGCAAAGCCCAAAGCAGTCGATGCTGAGGATACTTCACATCTCTCTGAACAGTCTGGCACAATGGACTTTCTCTCTAAATTTCTCGGAAAGCACTCCGAGGACTCATCAACTTTCTCTCAATACCATGTTCTGGCGGGTTGTGTATCAAACATGGTTGCAGGCTCAGACACGACCGCCATCAGCCTTAGCGCCATTTTATATCAGCTTCTCCGGAACCCTAAAGAGATGAGCAAGCTGCAAAAAGAGATTGACGAATTCTATTCCCAGAGAACTGGTGATCCTCGACGACTAAACTTCCAGGAGAGTCTGAAGCTGCCATACCTCCAGGCAGTCATCAAAGAGGCATTGAGATTGCATCCCGCGACTGGGCTTCCCCTCGAGAGAATTGTTCCTGAAGGAGGAGCTACTATTGCAGGGAAATTCTTTCCAGCCGGGGTATGTTGAAACCATGTCGGCATTGTAGACTGATTGACATTCACTAATCATTATTAGACCATCGTGGGCATCAACACTTGGGTTGAGCACCACCACCCGTCCATCTTTGGCGAAGATGCAGCCTCTTTTAGACCGGATCGATGGTTGACTACGGATACCGATCGTTTGTCGGCGATGAACAGACACTGGATGCCGGTAAGCCTCTTGTAAAAGAGCTAGAGATTGCATGTTCCAGTGCTGTCACTGACAAGCTGATAGTTCGGCCTGGGATCACGAACCTGCATCGGAAGACACATTTCCATATTGGAAATTTCGAAATTGATGCCCAGATTACTGCACGAGTTTGATTTTGAAATTTGTAGGGACGCTCCCTGGGTTACTAGGAACTGTTGGTTCGTGAAGCCTGTAAACTTTCAGGTTCGAGTCAATGCACGGCGATCGCAGGTTGGTAAAGTTGGGGCTTCCTAGGCTTCTGACAGGTTGGACGCCCTTTTTAGAGCACCTGCTGATAGGTTGGGAACGCCTGAGGTGACAGTGAACGAGTGTGTTCTAATTGAGTCTAGTAAATCACAATACAAAAATTGAAGTCCCAAGATTTTCCAAATCCTCATGATGTGATATCTTCAAAGCATTGAAGTGCCAAACGAATGCAATCCTTCCCAAACCCCGTGGCTATGCTGTGAATCTCAACGCCGTCGTGTTTCGCCCGAAAAACTCAAGCAGCAAATAGTTCCTTTTTCGCTCCATCGCTGGTTCTACTATTCCTACATGCGACTTGTCCGGAGTCTTTGAATTTCATCCTGTTTTTGCATTAGCGATCTTCCATGTTCCTTAACTTTAGGGCGCACGTACTGGCGAGAGATCACGCGGAGCCCGGATCACGTAAGAGTTTTTTCTTGACTCAAACTCGAACTGGTGGGAATTGAATTCTTCTTTAAGATAACGGGAGAGTCTCTCCGGGGCGATGGAGGATCCAGATATCCTCTGGCATCCTTGCTGCTTATTCCGACGTACACTGAAGCTGCTATCCATTGTGTGCTGCTGTTGTTTTCTCTTATGTCTTTTTTTTTCTTCCCCAGAATGTCGGTAACGGATGGTGAGAGCCGAAGAGGAAGATGGCCGGGTCTGATTCTCGGTGGAATGCGCCTACACTTAAGGGCCGAGGAGGGCTTGCAGCGTTTTAGTCCTACCAGGGTATGATTGGTTGACCTCAAGCAGATCACTCATAACATGCTGCAAGACTGCATCAATATCTGCAGGTTTATGGTGCGGTTGCCTGATCAAAGCCAATCACCTGCTCCCTTCGTGTGGTTGCATGTTAAGCTGCATTCCAGATCGCTTCTGTCGAATGAATTCGTTGACCACTTTCTGCTCACACCATCAACATGAATTGGAATTCCCGCACAGCAAGCTACCTAGCCCAAGTGTCAGCTGTAGGCTCAGGGTTCCTCGTCGTCGCATCCACTTCGGCCTATGGGGATGCCTTCGCGCACCCATCCACTGCAGCGATGGGGGTGAATCCACTTCCACGTCAACATAGCTCTGCTCCGTTCTGAGTGAAGAAGCGGTTCTTAACACATCGCCACTTCCAAGGGTGCACCAAAAATCGTTCCCTTGCTTCTTTCTACGGCTTCTTCTCTTATTCAATTGGTATACCATGAGTTCCGGGTTATGGGTACAGTACACGCGCATCTGCAAACTTGCGCAGCCTTCTTTTTCCCCGAGTCTCCAGGCCCCTCTGACACCGACTTTCTCTTTCCCTTGCAGGTACAGACTTACAGCCTGCATGTAAACCCCGTCAGTCCACAGCCTGCCGCTGCCCTGGTCAGAGCCCGTCCATTCTGCATCGTAATCGCTGCTTACACCACTTGGAGGCCATAAAGCTGATAATCGACCATTCCTCTCTGGGGCATTACTTCGTGAGGCTGGCTGTGCAGTATAGTTGCCAGGCTCGCCCATTAAAACTCCCTTCTCTTCCACTAGGATGAGACATCGTTTCCGGTTCGACAAACACGATCTTGCTGCTCGAGGCTTCCTAGCTTGATACTTGCACATTTCATCTTTGGTGCTACTAATGAAGCGTACCACTCCACAATGCCTCCAGAATACCATCCGAACATACCCAGCGGCCCCAGCCCCAATCGCCACCCTCGCACATTGAGCGAAGATCTGTCTTACCTCCATCTAGGTGGCAGCATTCCGAAAGTTGTTATTGTCAGTTGCAAATTGGGCCCTCTTCTGCCATTCAAGCTGCACGATTTCCTAACACGAACCACAGGGCGATGAGCACAACCCTGCGCTTGACGCTATTCATGGGAACCAGGGCCTCGATAACGTTCCAAAAGAACGCCCAGCAGCACCTAGCGAACAGACCAGTGTCGGGAACCGAAACCCACCAATCCGCTCGACAGACCAGGCCCAAAGTCCCCCCAGCGCTTACACTGGAGTACCACTAGATGAGCTTCTTCGGAGCCATTACCAGCCCCATCCTCACCCTGAAGTAACGGAAGGATACCTCCCGACTGGCCTTTTGGAGGAACTTGTTGGTCCTGAAGCGGTGAAACAAGAACTCACAGAGGCTTTGGACGATGACTCCGATATAAACCGCATTGCTCAAAGGGTATGCGAGAGCTCTCCAGGGGGTAGGTGTTATCGACAGGTCTTTGCGATTCTTTGCCTGATTGAGAGAGTAAAGTCTATCGAAAAGTTTCTAGACCCTGTAACCGGAGTTTGTGATTCAGATCTGCCTCTTCAAAAAGTCGAATTAGGCCAAAGAAACAAGGTTGACTTGCGAAAAAGAAAAGACCTCGACAAACCCTTGGGGTGTTTCCAAGGTTGGAGACATAATTCACTGAGGTCTTTCGATGACTGGCAATGGACGCTAAGGGTTCCATTTCTCAAGGGCATTCAAGGAAGCGAGGCCCAATATCGAAAGTTTGATGATCGAGTCATACTCCCCTTGACATACCAATCTGACCCCAACGACGATGGAGCAACTGGTGGATTCAGTGAAGTATTTAAGGTCAAGTTGCATCCCCGCCATCACGACTTCAGTCAAAACGGGGCAGATGTAAGTACCCACTTTTTATGATAATAGTCAAGTTACTCCGTACTTTAAAATCAGAGTCGGGACTAGAGGTGGAATCATGCCAGGTTTGCTGATCAATGGCTAACATGAAGCTGCTAGTGCTTTTTTGCTCTGAAGAGACTTCGATCCACAGATACGGCAGCCTTCCAGCGAGAACTTCAGATGTTGCGGAAATTTGAAAGCGAAAACGCCCATGAACACTTGATTTCACTGCTCACAACTTGGAGTCAGAAAGGTTTCTTTTACTTTCTTTTCCCATGGGCCGAGTGTGATTTGGTCAAGTACTGGGAAATCCATAGTGAACCAGACATGGGCGAAGACCTCGTCCGTTGGGTTGCGAGGCAGACTGCTGGCATGGCTGCCGGCCTTGCCAGGATCCATGAGTACCCAGGAAAGGTCGATGGCAACACTGAGAATGCGGTGAAGTACGGTCGCCATGGAGATATAAAGCCCGATAATATTCTCTGGTTTCGAAGTTCGATGGGTGATCCTGGAAGGCTCGTGATATCGGACTTCGGACTTGGCGTTTTTAACAGCAAGAGAAGTCGATCTAACATTCCCAACAACTCTGGCATAGGGCGAACGCCTACTTACCGGCCCCCGGAATGCGATATTGAGGGTGCTATGATCTCACGATCTTGGGACATTTGGACTCTGGGATGCGTCTATGTCGAGTTCGTTACGTGGCTGTTGGGTGGATGGGAGCTGTCGGAAGATTTTGCCGAATACCGAATGACGAGATCATCGATATGGGGCCAGGAGTTCAAGTCCGATATTTACTTCGACATTGTACAAGTTGTGCGTATTGCATCCGATGACGACACCTCCTTGAGAAGTATGGGTGCCATGGTAAAACCAAATGTGACCCGAGTATGTATCGTTCCACAGCCGTCACCAGACAGAAGCCCGGACTGATGAATCGTAGTGGTTTGACGGGCTTCATAATCATCGAGATTGTACTCAGTACACCCATGATCTTCTAAAGTTCGTTCAGAACAGAATGTTGATCGTCGAGTCAGCGGTCAGGAAACGAGCGACTTGCAAGGAAGTGTTTGAAGAACTGCGACGTATTCAAAGGCGATGTCTGGAAAGCAAAGCTTACTGTGTCGAGCCTGTGCCTTGGCCTCTACCACCATCCAGTGAAGAGTCACCTGCTGTCAAGATCAGGCTCAACGAAAATGCGCTGGATACCATTAGAAAAAGCCATCCGAGGCTTCGCACTCATCAAGGCCGCACAGAAGAGCCGCCAAGGGCGAGGGTGGGACATGGGGATCAACTTCTACAACCTCCAACAGAGAGAGTATATTGAGCGACTACGAAAACCATCGACCTGAAGATAGGTCTGAGATCCAGGAACAAGGTTACCACACGACTCCAAACACATGTCCTGCTCAAAATATACCTGGCAAAGTTTCCCTTGTCACTCATCCCCTTCTCGTCTCGCGTGAGACCTGCCTGATGCTTGCATAGTGGCCAGGTCCAGAAGAAGACCTGAAGAGATTCCGCTCTTCCTTCAAGTGCCAAAAAAATCAGCCATGTTAAAACTCGAATGCATCAATAGTTCTGCTCGTCGCTTACTGGTGTGAGGGACCGCGGCAGGTCAAGGTTCCATTTCCCTCGCGAGAACTGGGTGATTCGATTTTAGCACACAAAAAGCGCAAAGAAGGAGAGTACAGTTTGGATTATCTTACTCGAACTCCAATATCATCTCCCGAAGCGTTCGGGAACAACTGTCTGAGCTTCTGATGGAGCATTGTCTCATCGCAATATCGACCACTAACAAATTCCTTCGTCATGATTGCTTGGTGAACAACTCCAAAAGGTTGAGTTGATCGCCGGAACGCATGACGGGCTGCATACTGACAGTTTTGTATGGCCTACCTGTCGGAGTCCTCTTCCGGGACAGGGTTCATAACGAATCAGATTATGCCTCGTGTTAGCTACACGGCGGGGAACCACGCTCGTCAGGCTACCCGAATGAGGCGAGCGAGACTCTAGGCAAAGGCAGTGTTAGGCACAGACGCGTTGCATCTCGCCATCGACATGCCGACAAGTATCGGTTTGGAGGGCGACGTGAATCGATCATTGGAGACATCTTGAAGTCGTCGACATCATCGCATACTGCTGTCAGCCCGCAGCGAAGCCTACCTCTTCATTTGCAGTACTTCCAACCAGGCGGAGCATCTATCTTGGCACGCCAGGGTAGCATTGCTTCCTGCGTTATACTGATTAGCTGCTTTCTATCATGAGAAGATTAGTAACGGAGCTTTTGACCTGCAGGAAGGGTGGATACTTCGGAATCTCGACCCCTCCTTTGCATAATTACCGAAGAGCGCCTTGGGCGGAGTTCGGGCTCCTTTGGAGTGGTTGGGCTGCTTCGAGATGCCTCGTTTCACTCTTCACAGAGGCTCGTTTTCGTTGAAGCTTTCATTCTAGGAATACGGAGAAGTTCGGATGTTGGCAAAGGGTTGAGGCAGTTCTCCAATGTCATTAGGGCTGTTGACACCAGTGACTGTCGGATTGAAGTACCGTGTTTTTGCCAGTCTCAAGAAAGAATGCAGCTATTTCCACCCTCAGGATGATCCAACGCTTGTCCATCATTCATTGAATGAAACGGAAATTAACCACATGCATGACCTACCACCACAAATATCACCTACCTGATTAATTGAAGCATGGACTGGCTCCTCGATGGGTCATTGCTGAGTAATAGTGAGACCGATCTCGCCAACGTCTTTGAATATGAGCCAAGATCTGTCAAAGTTGTCCAATTAGACGACGAAGATGGGGTAAGGTAAGTCATTGATCAATACTTAACAAAAAGCTCACATTATTGCAGGAGCCCAAACAGTGGAAGGTGAATGATGAAGGTTGGAAGGAATGGTTTCATGAGGTTTGTGGCCGTTTGTCAGCCTCAACCCATAGCTGGTTGCTCTCAGACTAATAAAAGTCGGTGAAAAGAACCACAGAGACCTTGACCAAAGCTACAAGCCCAAGATCACTGTCGTGTAAGCTTTTTGTCAATGAGTATAATTGGACTGGGGTTTGAAGAGACTGGCATTACGAAAGGCTGATATTATCTGTTGCAGATTTGCAAGACGAGCCAAGACTAGCCCGTCAGCTTACCAACCCAAAACCATCCGCTCTCTTTCTTTTTCACGCGAGACCTTCAGATATATCTGTAGCAAGCTGATGATTCATAGTGGCATCTCTCGGACCATCAGCCGTGGAGATGTGGCAAGCTTTTGTTCGGGAGATGTGGCTATGGGTGAGCTTGAAGAGCCAGCTATCGGTGGGTTCACACCAAAGTCTACTAGTCTTAGTAGACAACAGACCGTCATATTCTAAGCCCTCGAAGTTTATCACAGCAGGACCTCCATGGCATGGGATGGCGACTTAGCTCTTTCGGTAACACACCTATCAAAGACAGGTTCGACGAACGCTATCGTCTTCGGCACCACTGCTGAAATAGAGGATGAGATTATTGACAGACTCTACTGCTCATCCAGCGCCTTGTCACACCCATTCCTACTTCCGGGAATCTTCACTGAGCTAGAGAGAGAGAGACAGCTAAAGCGGCTCGTTGAGGATACTCAAGGCGAGCTGGAAAAGGCTACATACTACTTGGGTTCCGATGAGGGAAGCGAAAGTGACCAGGCTGCTACCCAGCCAATCATTGACCTTTGGCTTAACACCACGGAGCTCCGAAATGGCCTGTTCAACTGGAAGACACAGGTGGAAGAGATGCTACTTCATATCGAAGGAATGGCCGAGAGTTACTCAACATCAAACGTCATGGATGGACGTTCGGCATTTGCTTGTGCCGATACCAAAGCAGATCTAAAGCGGAAGCAAGCAAAAGTGAATTCTATGATCAGAAACCGACTGAGGTCGATAATAAACGAGTATGAGGACACTATAAGAGACTGTACTATGAGATTAGACGGAATGTCGATGGCGACTCAGCTCGTGAGTTTATTTATACTCAGCTTAATCATACATACTCTCGTCATAATATCCCACTAACTCGTGTACAGTCTCATGCAAGGACCAACATGCAGATTGCCCTGGAATCCAAACGAGATGGGAAGCGAATGCAGAATATTTCCATTTTCTCCATGGTATTTCTACCTAGCATGTTTGTTGCAGTAAGTCAGATCCTTGCCACTGCTTGTCTGGTATCTTTCTTGATACGTCTTATTCTACGGAAATTGGAAATCTGATCATCGCGGCAAAGTATTCTAACGTGATAACTCTCAAATCAGACAATTTTCTCTACGGACTTCTTCAATTGGTTTCCCAAAGAAAAGGAAGCTATGATTTCGCCATACATCTGGGTTCTAATCTCATTTTGTATCTGTCTGAGTGTTCTAGTACTTGGTGGATACTATCTTATGTCTACTCGTCTGATGTGTCTTCGCGTCGCTCACTCGAAGTCACGGAAGTGGTTGTCAATGGTGTGATATGGATGACCGTACCTATATGAGTTGCAAGTTGTCAAAGTTCAAAAGTTCTGACTGGAATTTCTCACGTTCGAGCCCTAGTTGTAGACAAGGCGTGGAATGAGAAGCGTCCGTCAGCAGACCTGACGGAAGTAGATAAAGTACTTGCTACAGTCACTACAATGGAACAAATGACCGTCTCCAAATGCAATCAAACCCAAAATGTCTGCAGTTGCCTCATCTTAAAGGCGTCTGGACACTTGTGTATACTTCACCGAGTCGGCTCAGTCTCAGATCATTCGACATTCTACTGAACGATCCAGACGTCAGGACTAAACGATTGAACCCTTCTCTGCCTGCGCGATGGGCATGTCAAGGGAGACAGACTGCGCACTCTCAAACGTGACGTTGGTAATTGCGTCATACGCTCGCAGTTGCGTGCGCGCCTCTTGCGCACCAGTTCTCACCAAAGTTGCAATCGTCTCGGATCGAGCCAGAAAGCGAACTTTGAAAGGCAGTGGACGGTTGACCTGAGACACAGTGTACGCATCTGGGTCCAAAACGACTTCGTTGCCCTAGTTTAAAAGTCATTAGCTCCTGATGAAGACAAAACTCAGCTTGGCACTAGCCCACCTTTTCGTCTACACCCGGACGGATCTCGAAAGCCCAGAGAAGAGAGACAATGGTGAAGTACAAGCTTTGTTGGGCCAATGCTTCACCGCTGCAGACTCGACGTCCCCATCCAAAGGTATTGTGTCCACGTTTGTTAGGATATGCTGGCCCATCAAAACTTTCCATAAAACGTTCCGGCCAGAATCGATGCGGTTGGGGGAATTCCCGCGGGTTTCGGTGCATGGCGTAGAGATTTCCGATGATCGATGTTCCCCTCGGAAAGAAGAATCCGTTGTAGATTTCATCTTCGGTGGGTGCATGGGGAGGCCCGCCAAGAGCAAATGCAGGCCGCCATCTGAGTGTTTCGTTGATGACTGCCGCCAAATACGTGAGACTGTCTTCGTCGGACCAGTCGGGATAACGATCGCGGCCGACGATGCGATCGATTTCCTCGTGCGCCTTGCTTTGAACGTCTTGATTCAAACACATAGCCAGAACAAAAGTCAGCATGGTGCTAGTGGTAGTGTCAACCCCGGCGCCGATGAAGTTGCCTGTGAGGTTGGAAATTTCGACTTTACTGAGGCCATGTTCCTCCTTCTCTTTCAGTAGTCTCTTGGCGAAGTTGTCTTGTACCGCGTTAGATCCCTCACTTGTTCGACGTTTGGGCTAGCTTCCTGAGTTGGTTTGGCAGCGGATTCAGCCATGCCGGCATATCAGCAAGAGCAGGTATGGCCTCGGTGTATGTCTTTCCTGGGAAACCGAGGTTGGCGCTACCGACATATGCTTGAGCTACCTTCAAGACTGTGTCTGATTCAGTCCCGATGCGTCTGCCCCAGGCAATAATGGATACAATCGATACGGTAAAGCGTAAGGCACTGTCAACGAATCGATCGGGTTTCGTCAGACAGTCTTCAATCAATATCTTCGCTTCATTGGCTTGGGAAGTACGATATGCCTGGACCACCTGGGCGTTGGCAGCAGAGTGCTATGGAGCACGATTTGTTCATGTCAGCAGCTAGAATTACGAGCGGAAGGAAGGCTTTGTTAGAACCACTCTGAACAGGGATACGACTTACAGTCAAGCGACGGTGTACACGCCACTGCTCACCATATGCAAGTCCCGCTTGATTGAACTTGTTGAGGCCAAAGATCTTTCCGGTAAGTGTCTTTACAGGTCTAGATGAGAAGATGTTTGCCCGCTTGTCGCAGAGGTCAGACATAGACCAAGCATCGTTACAAATGACAACCGGGGTGTGTCCATCCCAGATTGTAATGATGGGAGATTGATACTTCAGCGACCATTCTTCAAACTTCTTCCACTGTCTGCTGCTTGGGATGTGGAAGATGTTGCCAAAAAGCGGTAGCGGGAACGGCCCAGGTGCCATTCGTTGTCTGAGCCGCAAGATACGGATGTAGTCTACGAGTACGTAAAATACACCGAAGGTCAGAGTGACCACGACGAAAATGGCTGGTAAGGCGACAATAAACATGGTGTCTACCAGGTTTGTGACAATCGCATAGGAAAGAGTGAGTAGAGTAGATGGTGATGAGATATCTAGGGGCCTTGTAGCGGCGAGCTTCGATTTTCCAAGTTCACTTCAATGTATGATACGAGTTACAATGAGTATCAAGTCATCGTCACGCTAGAATCAGACGTGAGGTGGGAACATCATATAAATGCGAAGACGTATCCAAAGGTATCATTTCGTTATCGTTAGATAGCCCAGTCCCAATGGCTTGCTGCGTCTTGTCAATCTTGACACTATCTCAGGCCCAGCTTGGCAGCTTCGAACACATGACGGCACCCCCGGGGTGTGATTGGAGCTCGGTAAATGCATAGACAATGAGGGGTCCGGAAAACAGTCCCGGCGTCATACTGCGCGCCGGCCGAAATGTTACGACCACCCCGCCCAACCCCTCTTCACCGGGATTTTGAGGTGGAATATGACGGCCAACACTGTGAAAAAGGAAGGATCTCAGTGTGAAATGTGGGCATATTAAGTCACTCGCAAGTCAACAGGTCTGTGTGGAATGTGGCAAACCAGGAACGTATGGTTATACCACGGTAGTGATAGTTTCAATTACCAAGGTTCTTGTGTGATCAGAGCCTGCGGGGTTTACTAAGTACAACAATCCAGATTCCTGGAATGTGTATACAGCATCACAAATGCGGTCTTCTAAATCTGTTATTTTTTCTGGGAGTATTTCTTCGGCACAGGAAGAGTTGCGTAGTTCGACATCGCATCCAAATGCTCCTTCGGCGAGATTGGCTTCCCCTCTTGTACGTATGTTCCCAATAGCTTGAAGTAATTGATGTAGTATGCCGGAGTGTATGTGTTGAAAAACTTGGCCTCCTCGTCAGTCGGGTTGCTGAACGTATGCGGTGCCCGAACAGGGACCGTGACATAGTCGCCTTCTTTCGCGTCGATAGTGTCCTCGGTGCCATCAGGCTTTGGGATGTGGTATCGAATGGTGCCTTTGGTCGTCAAAAATGTCTCGTCATGCATCTCGTGCCAATGGGCTGGAGGTCCTTTCAAGCCGGGAGGGAGAGTGAACTCGGCGGCCCCGATACGATTGTCTGCAAGCACAGATACGGTTAGCTCTCACTTCATGAAACCAAATTTACACCCTTATTGCGAGTATAACTGCGGATATCATTCAGTGGTAGCTCACCTGTGCGGGATCCATCTTCCAAGACGCGGCAAGTGATGAGTCCTAGCTTGATGACGTCCCCAGCTTTGGCAGGGACGAAGTTGACTGGAATTCCGTCCGTTGGAATATCGCGCCCGGGACCGAGCTCGACATCATCATCTACATCCATGGTGAAAGAGCTTGGAAGAAGTGTCGGGATTGAGAAAAGGTTGTATAATATTTGTGTGCCTCAACAGTTAGTTTTCTTACACGTTTGGCCGCACGTTGAAAGTTCAGCAGAAGAATTGGAGATGTCGTGACGTTATATGCATTCTTCGCATCACCAAGGTAACTCCATTTCATTTCAGATGCCCAAAGCTTGCACATAACGCACGAATCTCAAATGCGTGGTTTGGTTTGCTTGACAACGGGGGAAAACCCGAGCTCCGTGTTTGCGGATGCAAAGTTCAATCTCATCGGCCGTGTTTTCCACCTGCCTGGCTCATGTCCGCTCTGGCCCGGCTCGGTGGACATGGGCCCGACGCTACCCCCCTCACACCCTTACCCGGGCAGCAACTCTGGTTGTTGAGAATTGTGTGTCAAAGCATTCTAATTGCCGTACGTTGCGAGGGTTTTCCTTTCTGAACGTAAATACAGACATGATAGTCTGTAGAGCCACTGATTGATACTCTCAGCTCTTTTGATGTGAGCTACTTGACCTCGCCATCCAAATCGATTTCTCATCTAAATTCAAACATATCTCAACCAAAAAAGCATACGGTATCTCCTCGAGTTCCATCATCATGTACTTTGAGCCGGGCAGTCAGTCGGGAGGAATACCTCACAACCTTCCCCATGATCCGTTCAAGGCATGCGTTGTTCCTCGGCCAATTGGCTGGATATCGACCATCTCAGCAACGGATCCGAAGACGCACAACCTGGCACCCTATTCTCAGTTCAATAACCTCACATTCGATCCACCCTATGTTATGTTCTCGGCCAATCAAAAACCGGACCAGCAAAGAAAGGATACGGTTCTCAACGCGGAGCTGACCGGCAAGTTCTGCTGGAACCTAGCTACTTGGCCCTTGCGTGAAGCTGTAAACATCTCGGCTGAGCAGGTTGACTACGGAGTGGACGAGTTCGACCGCGCAGGTTTGCAAAAGGAATACAGTCGCGCGCTGCCAGGACATCCTGTGCCCATGGTCAAGGATAGTCCGGTCAAGTTTGAATGTGTATATCATACCACTCTCAGGCTACCCGCAAACCCTCCCATGGGAACTGTCGATGTCGTCATTGGGAGAGTCATCGGAGTACATATCCGAGATGATGTCTTGACCGATGGCAAGCTCGACGTCAGCAAGACACAGCCCATTGCTCGCTGCGGCTACTTTCAGTATACGGTCGTGCGAGAAACTTTTGAGATGATTATCCCGGGAATGGATGAGGCTACGCACGCAGGGCTAGAAGGAAACAGCGCGATTCACAAAAAGGTGAACATGTTAGAGAATGGATCGGAACAGCCGAATGGGGTTTCCGCTGGTTAAATGTTGTGCACTCGAGAGCATGAGAACTACTTGGTTTAGAAACAGCACACTTATCTTTCGATACTTGATTTTGATTCATATGAAGCAAGTGGCAACTCAAGATACGTGCATCATTAGTGCCTAGTACGTGATGGTGTTCATTAAGTCATCATGATTGGCAGCACGAGGTGCAGGTCACACTCAGCGTGACAAAATTATTCTCGGCTCTAATTATTCTAGAGAACAGTTTTCAAGAAAAGAAAAGCCCTGAAGATCCTGAAATTCTTCGGCCGAGAACGTCGTTTCATCGATCATCATCAGGTCCGGGTGCGGCAACACACCACCAATCTCGTCAAACTGATAGCCGTTGACGCTGTGTGTGTTCTGTGAATTTCCTTGTTCTGGCGTTCTCAGATCCCGTTGCAGGGAGACGTCCGTAGTGGTGATGGGAGGTGTTAAAGGACCCGGAGCATTTGTTCGGACCACCTCCGGGGTCTGAACTTGGTGTTGATGCCGGGAGCTGCTTGAGAGCAAGGAATCATAGGAATGGGAAGGCTTCGGAAGCGAACTGCCTGAAGAGGATGGAGCATGAGATGTTGTCGATGCTAGTGAAAATGCCGAGGGTTGCCCAGTCTTTTCTGAAGCCGTACGTGAACCCCTTCTTCCTCTTCTATCCAAAGCCTCTTGTCGAGCAGATCTTGCCTTTCCCAGCTGTCTGAGAACAGACCGCCATTGTTGCGGCTTTTGACCGCTCAACAATGAGGGAGGATGTTCCCACCTCAACACGGTGGCTTTTTCAATTGCCTGCCATGCTCGCCGGGATCCCTTGCAAAGAGGGTCCGTTCGAAGCCAGTGAAGGACCAGAGAGAATGCATGCCACTGAGTGTAGGAGCTGAAAAGCCAAAGCCAAGGACGCGTTCGGGGATCAGTCCGAAGTTTGCAGTTGAGTTCTATGACTTCGACAGCGACGGCGAATAATCGCTTGCGGGTTGGCTCTGTTATATCTTTCGAGTCCACATGTGGGTTGATGCCATGCAGCCTAACTTTGTGAAATAGCATTCTCGTCAGGACCATGGTAACCTGTGATGGGTTTGGTCAACACTAAGTGCTTCAGCTTCACGCTCATACTAAGCGGTGGCAGACGTGAACAACCGAAAACTTACCCAATGCAGAGCGTTTGTCGCCGAGTAATTTTGAAGGAACTTTTGAGAAAACTCTTGCTCACAAAAGTCGATCCAATCGTTGCGCTCTTGCTGTGACATTTCGGCATAGCTCTTGCTCATGTTTTCACAGTGCCTTCTCGAGTCCGCCATGCAACGGTACATGCTCGTGATTTGGCATCGGGCTAATGTAAACGTCATCTCCGTGATGCCTCTAGTTTCGGATGGATACTCGAGCATTGCCGGATACAGCTGTATGTCGTTGAGATTCCGCGGTGGCTGGCTATCGAAACTACTCATCTCGAGTCTGTGGAGAAGTCAACGAATTATTCTACTGGGCCCCTGCGAAAGTCTTAAGTATTACAAATTGTATTCACCCGAATAGTCCTCCGCCGATGGAGCGTCCAGAACTGCAATTTGCCACCAAAGGCGGCGTCGCATTTCGATGTCGAATGTTGAGAGTCCGAACAGACTGCCTTCCCTATGAATGCCGAAATTCTGAGCAAGTCTAACGGCCAACCCCGAAAGGTTCCAGGAGAGCCGAGGTTCATGATGTCGCAGGAAAATGAGGTACAATACTAATGCCTGCAACGGTTGGATATCCCCGGTGTGGATCAGCATGGCCTTCGAAAGCATTGCTTCTACCTCGTCTCGCAGGACGGACAGGACCAGGGCTTGTCTGCTTTGAAAGAGCTGGCCGCACTCTTCTTCGCCCAGACTTGTTACCGCGCCGTAGTAGATTGACAGCATGATACAACGGGTGCCGTCTTCGAAGTCCACCAAGCGATGCCCGGTCACTGCCTGCTCCAGCGACGGCAAATGAAGCAACTTGGTCAGCGGCTCAACTCTTTCTTTGTAAATACCCCACAAGTGCAGTTTTTGATCGCCAATTATAGAAAGAATCCTTCTCTTTGAGCTCGTAGTTTCGTTATCGAAACTCAAACTTTCCGGTTTCTTCGAGCACCAATTGGCGAAAGGATTAGAACCGGTATCTTCGAAGTCATCGTCGTCTGAGCGATCTTCGTCTGTCGCAGAGCCGCTGCTGATCTACTTATCATTAGCCGAGGATACGATTTGATGTTGTGCATTATCTGACTTCACTTTTACAATCCTCCCAAAACCATCGTCTTACATAGGTGTCCCTCCCGGCATCGCGAACAATCCTGCCATCACTGCCACCATGGCTTGATGTTACACTTTGCAACTCGGCACTGGGTGGGTTTGAACGACCTATTTGGACTCCTGGGCCAATCGTCGGACCGAAAGATCCCAAGTCCGTAGCGCCGAGGTCTTCAGCCATAGGCGAAGGAATCGGAGACTGAGGTCGTTCTCGGCCACCTTCATCACTGTGTTTGTGGGCTTGCTGAGGATCTACGGGATCCTGCCTGTCTCCGTCTTTCGGCTCCAAAGTTTGAACAACTTTCTCTAGTCTTTGAAGCATTTCCACTAGCTCAGGTGTCATAACCATTTGTGTCTGGCTTGTCTTAGCGGCAGGGAATACGCATTCACCCCCGTACTTGACGCAATTCCGACATGGCTTCTGCTTGTCGCACTTGACCTTCCGTTTGCTACACAAAAGACACGAACGCCGTTTTCTCCCTGCATTACTTGGTTGTTTAGGAGGAGCAGCAGAAGCAGTTGTCGACTGTCCGTCGGTAGTCGAATGTTGCTTTGAAGACGTTTCAATGTTGTCTGACATGTTGTCGGGCGAAGATGGTAGGCATTCGTGCGTCAACAGGAAAGAAGGGCTTCGGACTGAAGATGAGAAGTAGATGCCAATTTGGCTTAGAGAAAACCAGGACCCGGAGACCCGGCCGAAAACGATTCAAGGCCTGCCATTGGGTACTTAGGCAGCGCTCAGAGAAGTCAGATTGAAGTGGCAGCTGAGGCAGTCGGCCGAAGTCGCCGGGTAAAGCTTTTGACTTCCAGCCCCACTTGAAGTCAGGAAACCACATTAAGGCTCTCAGAGATGCAAAGAGAGCAAATATGTGACCGTCAAAATCAGTCATAGGCTCATGAAAAAGTAGTCTTCTAGAGCACGTTCGACGAATGATCGACCCAGCAGTCCTTCAGACCATCAGCCTACTGCGATTGAATCTCTGTACACCATCAACTCTTTTCTTGGCAGTGCAAACTATTGATCACTTGAAGATGAAGCTCAGTTGCGAGGAAAGCCTAGTATCTTTGACAAAAGGAGACTCACCGAGGCTTCCCGGTGTTGCTCTGGCTGCATTCAACAAACATAGCGAGTTGACCCCGCCACTAAGAAAGACTGAGGGACTTCTCATTAATAGACGATACAGAGATTCTCTACAGCCAATGCCATGGGATCAAGAGGGCAGATGTCAAAGAGCAAATCACTCTTGATGATGCTTTTCGCGGATTCTCTTGCACAAAGCTGATTACAACAATCTCCGTACTGCAATGCGTCGAGAAGAAAATGATAGGTCTCGATGACGAGGTTGAAACGATACTGCCCGAGCTTAAGGACCCCGAAATCATATTGCCGGACTCTACTACATCCTTCAGGCTCGAAAGAGCCAAGAACAAAATAACGGTTCGGCATTTGCTGACCCACACCAGCGGCATATCTTATGACGCCATGCATCCACTGCTCGTAGCATGGCGAAAATCAAGAAGCGAACAGCCCCTAGTGATGAGCGGGAGAACCATCGAAGCTTTTTCACTTCCCCTTTTGTTTGAGCCTGGAACTAGCTGGGTCTATGGTGCTAGTTTGGACTGGGCTGGGGTGCTTGTGGAGAGGTTGAGCAATATGAAGCTGGCAACTTACATGGAAGAGCATGTGTTCAGACCTCTTGGTCTTACGAACACAACACTTCACATAACAGAAAGACCGGATATGCAGAAACTACTAGCTCAAATGTTTGTACGGACCGGTGAGGGAAAGCTGGCCCCCATCCCTTCACCTTGCCCGGAAGATGCACAGGAGACCTCCGGTGGGATGGGACTCATCACTACTACGTCAGACTTCGTCAAAGTCTTGACAGACCTACTCAAGGACAGTCCAGTGCTTCTGAAAGCCGACTTCGTGACAGAAATGTTCACTCCTCAGTTTCATCAAGGCACCAGTCAATACGAAGGGTTGATCAAACAAGAGGTATGCCTAGCTCCCCACCCCATGGCGTAGCAGCCAAGCTAAGCGCCCCAAACTCTAACACGAAGGACCGATAGGCTTTGCATAAACAACTGACGGGGGACGACACGGGATGCCCCGGAGTAGCATTCGGACTGGGTGGTATGGTAATCAAAGAGGATACGCCTAACCTCCCCGCAAAATGTCTGACATGGAACGGGATGCCAAATATTGGGTGGTTCGTTAACCGAGAAAGTGGGCTTGGGGCTGTCTATGTGAGCCAGTTGCTTCCAGCGGGAGATTCCGAGAGCGCAAAGCTTCTCGGGGAATTCTGGCGACGAGTTTGGGTTGATCATCTTGCGGGGCGTTAACATCACTTAAAATTGAGTACTAGACATGAGGGAAAAGTCAGGCAAACAGGGTTCAACATATGCAATCGTCTATGTTAAGGGACTGCGACTTTCTGAGGCTCTTGTTCTAAGGATTTGGTGTTCATTTCTTCACAACCCATTGTTACTGATGATTGGATAATTAATTCACTGCCAACTTGTCTCGCTCGTACGCGTTTTTAAGCACACGCAATATTTCCCTCTTGAACCAACCAGACTGGATAGTAATAACTAGATGTCTCAGAGGGGAGTTCTTTTCGGACGCAAGAATGGATGAATCTGAGCCTTCTCAATATCCCAGATCTTCTCCTTGACCAACGGATCATCCATGAGTCGCGCTAAAATCCCTTCCCGTGTGGGCGCAAAGACAAGCATGGCACTGCCCGTGATGTGCGGGGTTTGCCCGGGGCCCACGGGCTCCGCCAAAGTGGCACCTGCGTTGACCAAATGTTAGCTAAACATGGATTTGGACGGCATTGATGAACGACGGCCACGGGGCAGCGGATATCCCACCTCCAAACACCCAAAAGCCTTGAGGATCTGTTTTCATCCGCTCAATGTGTTGTCTGTTTCGCGTCGGGATGTCAATTCATAATCTGCTCTCTGAGTCTGGGCTGAGACATACGGGAACACCGCAGCCCTTCGGTCTTTGGCCTCCGGGAAGTCTGGGACGTGAATGAGCCACTCCGAGTTTCCTATCTGCTGGTTTGATGATGTCTTCATTCCTGCCATGTTGTCGCCTGCGTAAATATCTCTCTAGCTTAACATGGAGCAATATTGATTGATCGACTTAGGGGCCACCTCAACTTATACAGAATATGCTGACGTCGGTTCAAGTTCACGTTCGCTCTGGAATACTTCGCTCTCCGAAACGCCGACTGGGGTTAGAACGGAGAGCTGGACCGGAGGGATCGGCCGAGCTACTACTGCGGTTTACTTCTCTGCTAATCATATCCACATTCCCAAACACGGCTACAACCCCACAGCGCTATCATCAGGGGCCAACGTAGTGCGCAGGAGTGGACTGCCGGACGGGTTCCCCGCCAAACACTTTATCATCTAAAAGCCCTAGTCCGCCATGGCGTTGATCTATGCCACGGTCCCATGTGCCGTGAACAAGAAAGGTAGAGAAAAGGTAACGCAGTGCCGCTTCAGCTGCTGCGCTCTTACAAACACGTTTTGGGTTGGTAATTGTGTCCATCGTGATTCGTGTGTAGGTGCTTCTCCCCGCACTTCGTCCCCCCTGTCTAGGCCTTATCTCTCGGCCTACACCATGTTCCCTCCGTGCGCCTCGTCCCAACATGGCTTGGTGGTGATGAATCTCCCTCGTGATCCCTCCCTTTTCCATCACCTTATCTCCATGTAATTTATCACTTCAGCGTTCGTTATCTTCTGCTTGTTTTGCAAAGCAAGTCTTTCCTTCGGAATCCTCATTCTGTCCGCAATCACGCGTGATGCAACGCGGTACACATGAAGCAACTCATCTTCACGATATAAGTCAACATACCCACTTCCTGGCACCCCCCTGTTTCTGGCACCACAAAAACGATGGGATCACAACCCAACCTCCTCATTACTATTAACTATTGATCCTCAACCACACCCACTACAATACAGCTGCCAGCCTCACTAGGGCATTCAGAGTCGCTGGATTCAGCCGTGATAACCTCCTTTTCACCCGCTTCGATTTGAGCCCGATGGATATCCCTGATGTTCGCGAACTTCGTATTGGGATCG